TAACATAGTGCCAGTTGAGAACCTTTTTTCCATGTAAACACTTCAGAAATCACTTACTGGAAGAGAAACGCTGCTTCCTGATTACGCTGCAATTGGCACAGAATATCTCACTAATGTATTGAAAGCATTGCCTTTTTTCTCAGTGTTAAAATAATAATAATTAAAAAAAAACCCACTAAAAATATTTAGAAGCCTAGCAAAGATAGCAAGACCAACTTCATTTTTTTTAATTCTCTGACTATTATGTTCAAGAACTTATTCACTAGGAAAGAGCTGGCCACTCCACAAACATTAGTTGAACTAAAATCTTTGGATGTCTGTTCTACTGAATTGTCTGTTTTATCGTTAGCCTGACTTTTATTTGTTTGGAAGGTTCCTCTGGCAATCGTACTATATCCTGACACATAGTTTTTTTTTTTAAATATTAAATTGAAATACTCTCGGAGTTTTAGACTTTGAATATGCCCCAGATGGGACATCTCAAATAGCAGATAGAAGTCCTATGCCACGGACGGTTTTAAACCATGAGAAAGAAACATTTTTCTCTTACTCATTTCTGTTCAACCATATGTTTTTTGTCGGTGCTAAAATGATAAATTCAACTTCATCAACTGTCAGGTGATTTCTGTGTTGTTATTGCCTTTGTTTTTCTTATGGCCATTCTCAAATTCTTCTGTTGTTAATAGGAAAGAAAGCTCAAAAGGATGTACCCTTTGAATTAAAATTTCATGAAGATAAATAAAAAGAGAGAAAATAGAAAGTGAAGATGAGAGAAATTAAAAGATGCTTTGATTTAGACATAGCAAAGACCTTGGCTTGGAGATTTCTATTTATCTGGGGTACAGACCTTCTGGCACATCTGTTCACCTACCAGGACAGGCAGGCCTCCCCGGGACCTTGGGCGTGGCTGTTAGAGAGCCTCCTGGGCGACACCGCTAGGTCTGTCCATTCATAGGCCTCAGAAACATTGGACTCGGCTGAAGGCTAGGTGAGGAGTGTAAAGAATCTCGGGGAAGAGGAGGTTTGAAGAGCTTGTTTAGAGAGATCTCATTGCTTGGCCTTCATGCCTCAGTGGTTGAGCATCGACCTATGAACCAGGAGGTGACAGTTCGATTCCAGGTCAGAGCACATGCCTGGGCTGTGGGCTTGATCCCCAGTGTGGGGCATGGAAGAGGCAGCTGATTAATTATTTCCTCTCATCATTGATGTTTCTATTCCTCTCCCCTCTCTCTTCCTCTCTGAAATCAGTAAATATGTATATATATATATATTTAGTAGAGAGAACTTACTACAGAAAGAAGAGTCCTTACAGAGACCTTTAAGCAGAGTGGAGAGCAGGGTGTGGTGGCCACAGGCAGAGAGAATGGCCACTCCTGTGGGAGTCGTGAGGTCAGCAAGTTCCACAGTCACCAGGGCCATGCGTACATGAGGGACACTTCTGGGACATGCAGTAGAAGTGGGTGGCAGGAGAGTGGCTTCCCAATGGCCTAGAGCTGCAGCATCTGTAGTGGAGCCATTAGGCCAGAAAAACATAGGTATACATACATGACCTCATTCATCCCCCAGACGTGCGGAGGCCTGGGGACCTGTGGGACAGAGAAGAAGGAATCCTGGAGGAGGCATCCTTATCAAGTGCAATAGGCCAAAGGACATCTTGTTTTCGAAATCAGGAAAACCAACGGAAAGAATCGAAAACACACCTGTATTGGGCGCCTATCTGTGCCAGCCTCTTCCCCCCCCGGGTGCTTCCAGGGCTGCTTCACCAGTCACAGCCAGCTCTGCGGAGGGCAGCTCTTGTCCATGTCCCACATGGTTTCAAAAAAGCTCAAGGCATTTAAAAATAATGCTATGGAAAACCACAAGGCAAACAAAGGTGGAAACTTTAATGCTGTCGGTTAGACTTGTGCGGCTTAGAGCTGCTCTGAATGAGTGCTGGCTTCATTGAGACTTGGTTGTAATTATTGCGTACCTGCTATCCTCCCAAAATCTGAGGTTGTTGTTTTTGTTTGTTTGTTTGTTTGTTGTTTGCCTTAAGAAAGCCAGAGCTGGTTTCTGCTTTTTGCATGCAAAAGAAACTTAATACCAAAAAGTATAGAATGCAACTATTGTGAAAGCTTATAGGAAGTTGCCTAAATGAAAGTGCATCGAAGAAATGAGCTCTGCGACCTGTAAGGAAAGATTTCAGCAAAGAAAATGAGTACTAAGATGCGGAAGGGATAACAGAGTAGCTTACTATAGGCTGGTTACCAGGCCACAGGCTTCACATGTAGAAGCTCTTTTAATTTTTATGAAGACTGACTCAGATGGGTGCTTCTCTAAATCTCTCTTCTCATTTGCAGATTTTGGAAGTGGCCAAGCTGGGGTTTTAACCTCAATCTGTCTGATTATCCAGTCTGCTTCAGCCGTCACTAAGCTACTGCTTCCGACAAAATAATTAGTGCCCCAGGTGACCTCCAGCCATAACCCTGAGCCTCTGATGCTTCAAGATGAAAAAAGAAAAAGAAAAAAAAAAAAAAAAAAGAAAGAAAAAAAGGGGGAAAAAAGGAGTAAAAATTCTTTGTACAATTAACAAAATGAAATGTGGGTGAAATTTTGAAAATGATTTACTGATAATATCAAGATATTTGAAAGCTATTTGAGCTGGGAATTAATTGATCTTACAGGACAACATAAGCAGACCTGATAGATGCATAGCCATTTGTGCTGGGAATTGATAGACGACTCTCCCTGGCTCCCCGGTACCCCTCTGCACCCTCCCCACCAGCCCTGACACAGGTGACCCTCCATTTGTGTTCCGTCCAGCTCCAGGCTGCACATCGGACCCACCTGGGAGCTTTTAAAAACTTGGACGCTGGGCCTGCACCCGGGCCAATCACATCAGACTCCTAAGGGTAGGACTCGGGCCGGGGTGGTGATTACAGTGGGATCTCCAGGTGATCCCACTCACCAGGCGCCGCCGAGAGCACTGCCTCCGGGTCATACAGACCTCCGGGAGGAAGGCAGAAAGGAGGCCTTGTCCAGCATCAGGTCTACGAGGGCACAGAGGGTGTCGCAGGGAGGGCTGGCCTGCCCCCCACTCCCATTGCTGGAGGCCCACCTCTGCTGCCAGGGGACCCGGCTCGGCCGCCAGGTGTGCATGTGGAGCCCCAGGTAAGAGGGTGCTTTTCTGATGGGCCCTGATGGCACTGCTGGTCAGTGGGTGGTTATGACGCTGCTTCTCTCTCTGAAGGTGCTAGTGGGGATGCGTTTGGTCCCGTGGCGCTTGGCACGAAGCCTCTAGGAAGACACCTTGCCTCCTTCCCCTTTGAGCTCAGACTTTGCAAAAGGGCCACGATGTTTCTGTCTCTCCTGCTGACTGAGGACACTTTTTATTTGTCCTATTAAATGCCCTGGAATGTAGTAAAATTGCTGAAGCACACACAGTCACCGCGCTGGCTGCCACCCAGGGAACAGCCGTCTTCACCGCTGCCCCACACCAGGCTGTCCTGGCGCCTCAGTCCTGAGTCTCGGGATCCTCCTCGCTCCTTGAGTCTGCGTTCCTTCTGATGACCTGCCTCACACTCCAGCTCCCGCTCCGTGGGGACTTCTGGCAGCTGCCGTTTCTCCTCAACCAGTGTCCTATCTACCTGCAGCTCAGTGAATTGCCTGGAGCTTGCCATTCACTGACACCTGTCCCTAAAGTCATCGTCCATTCCCACGTCACCGGTGCTTGGCACACTGACGCACACTCCTGTTGGCGGTCATTACCGCCAGATTGGGTCTCAGTCCTCCTTGCCCTGGAGTCCCCCTCGTCCCTGCACTGGGCCTGCCTCTGCTCCTGCCCCGTCTGATTGTCCAGTTCCTCTCCGTCTCTCACCCCAGCGCACTTAGTGGAACCCTCTCCTGACCCAGCAGGTCCATCAGAGAATATCTGCATTTTATATGATTACACACGTGTTTATTAATGACTAAATCTTGTACCTGCCAGGCGCAATTCTGGGGGTGTAGGATACAAGACAGATCAGACTCCAGCTCCGTGGGACCTGCGTTCCATTGAGACAGACATTAAAGAAATGAAATTTGAGTGCAGAATTGTAATGGTTATGAAGCAAGGAGGAAAGGAAGCGGTAGAGCGACTTTGAGTTGGGAAGTGAAAGAAGGTGGTTAATGAGAGGTGAATTCTCACGGAGGCTTGGATAACAGAGGTGGGGGTGGAAAGGGTTCGGGGCAGAGAGATGAGCTGGGACAAGGCCAACAGTGGGCACAAGCCGGGCATCCTTGGGGACCAGTAGGAAGACTAGGGGAGTGGGCATGGTGGGAAAGTGGGAGGAGGTGAAACCAGAGAGGGTGGTGGGGTCAAACCAGGTTGGACCTAAAGGAGTGTGGAGTTTTTTCTGGGAGCCATTACGTGATAAACCATCACTCGCCTTTCCAGCAGAGATGATTGTAGGAGGCAGGACAGAAGCAGGAAGAGCTGTTCAGAAAGAAAAATGGACCCATCCGGATGCATTTGGTTTGGGTCGGACTAACAGGTTAGCATGTGGGTAGAAAGAAGTGGATGGATTCCGAATATACAGGATGCCCTCCCCTCATGTGTACACAATTTGAGTAATTATTCATCCCCATGTGTTAAATCTGACAAGACACATCAATTGAGCTATCAGCTGTTAAAGCATGTATACATTTGGGGGGGCACCCTGTATTTTGAGAGCCCAGTGGATACCTGGAGGGATCGGAGCTATTAGGAAAGTGAAGAAACAAGACCAATCCATAGGCTGGCAGTTACACAAATGGTTAGTGGTAGCGCCTTCTACTGAGATGATGAAAACTGGGAGAACAGACCCGGGAGAAGAGCCCAAAGGTCTGTAGACAAGTTGAGGGTAATGTGCCTGTTGGGCAGCAATCACTGAGCAGCCTGTTGCACGCTCGTCCTGGGCAGTCACACAGCAAATTAAAAGGCCTAGCAGCGCTGCGCTTTAAAAGGTCTAAATAATATTCGGTGTGAACAATAGTGTACTCAGGCTGTCAGATGCTAGTCTGTGTTATTATCCCTTTCAATAAATTGGCAGAAAATAACTGTGGGCAGTCGCTTGGTATTCAGCACACAGCTGACCTGGCAGCCCTGTGATTGCAGCCTGTCCTGGTAAACAGTGAGCGGGAGGGGAGGGGAGCGTAGGTGGGGGAAGCCAAGTCCCAGTGCTCTCACATTACATCCTGCCTCTGACTATCTGGTGCGGGAGAGAGTTTCTGCTGACGTCCTGCTCCCTTCTCCACCTTCACCTCTCCCCCTCACCCTGACCCCGGAGTCCTTCCAACTGGAGGCACCCACAAAACAGGCGTAATGGTGTTCACATCAGTGTTGAACTTAACCCCCTGGGAGAAGCAGATTGTCGCTTTGTCCTGAATTATTACTGTGGAAATTATAGTAAAGAATGTAAGCATTCTTCATGAAAGCCTCAGCTCAGAGACACCTTTGACCTTTTGATGTATTTTCTTCAAACATACACACACACACGTTTTGATTTTATAAAATTGGAGGTTTTCTGCTTTTTTTTCATGTAAAAATATATGCATTTTTGTCATATCATTACTTTTTAAAAACAGGATTATTACTGCAATCATATGAATGTCCCATAATTTGCTAACCATCCTCTACTGAGAGATATTAAGGTTCTTCTCACATTTTTGCTCAGATGAATATGCAGTGATAAATATCCTTGAGCATTAAGTCTTTGTTTATGTATCTGCTTCATTTTTTAAAATGTTAATTAATATTATTGATTTCTAGAAATTAAAAAATTTAGGTTAAAAGTATTTTACAGCAAATTCCCCACTAGCAAAGTTATGCTAAACATGGACAGCTGTTTGAAAGTACCTATTTCACTATAGCTATTATTTGAGTGAATATAAGATTACTTCACTTTGGAAAAAAATAACATTTAAAATTAATTTAAAGGGTTTTTTTTTCATTTTACTTTGTGTCTGAACACTTTGAGATGTCCTTTGGGTACTATCACAAATTGATGTATTGGTGATTTGCCCATTATTATATTAGAAAAGTTTATGATTTATGAAGGTAATGAATGAAATTATTTATACTTTTCTAGTTTGTCCCTTGTCTTCTAATTTTTACTTTTTAAAGAAACCATACTTTTTGAATGAATATTGTATCAAAATTAATAGCAGATACTTAAGAGTCAGATCTGAGATCAAATCCTGGGTCTGCTTCTTGCTAGCTGTGTCCTTTCAAATTATTTAACTTCTTTAAGCCTCAACTCCATATTTTTTAAATTAATGTAATAACACCAATGTGGCAAATTTACGGTAAAGAGTGAATATAATAGTAATAATAATATTGATGTCAGGTGTTATATACCCTTTTACATGGATCATCTCATTTAATCCTAACAACAGCCTTATTAGGAAGACATTAGGCACATTATTTATAAAAGAAAGTACAAATGCAGAGCCCTGAGGAGCCCCTCAGTAAGGAAACCTGATAAATTTTGTTTATTCCAGTGTCTGCCAAACTTTTTAATTACAGAAACTCTCTATCAAGTAGTACCATTCACTGGCATTTCAAGGACAAAGTTATTTTTAAGTGAAATTTTATTTTGAGGTTATTGCAGATTCACATGCGGTGGTAAGAACTATTAGAGGAACCATGTGCCCTTTACCCCGCTTCCCCCACCCCCCCCATGGTATCATCCTCTGAAACAATAGGAGGACATCACAACCAGGACCTGGACACTGACACAACCAGGTCACAGAGCAGCCCCTCACCACAAGGACGCCCCCCCACCCCCAACTTCGCAGACACACCCACTTCTCTGTCCCCCGCCTCCTCTTCAAGCCAAAGTGTCACCTTTTATAGTTTCAGCGGAGTCATGTGAGTGAGCCAGTCTGTCCTCACCCTCCCCAACATTTGGTGGCGCCACCATTTTTTGTTGAAGATGTTTTGATAGGCATATACAGGCATTCCGTTGTGATTTTAATAGACATTTCCCAACAACTAATGACCTTGGACATCTCTTCATGGGCTTATTTACCATCTGAATACTTTCTTCGGTGAAATTTCTCTCCATGTGTTTTGCCCACATTCTAGTTAGATTTTTTAAACATCAGATCTCGCGTTATTTACATGTTCTCTGTCCTGCTTGTTCGTTAGATACATTTTACAAATAAGTTCCCACTCTGTACCCTATCTTTTCACCCTCTCCACAGGGCCTGCCACAGAACAAAAGTTTTCAATTTTGATAAAGTCAGATTCAGTCGTACTGTTTCTGTAGGTTTAAGATTCTGGATGAATCTTTTCTTTCAGCATCGGGAGAACAGCACGAATGCCTTGTCATTTCTGTTATCCTCACCACTTTCCCTATAAACAAGGCGACATTTTTCTGATTTCAAGATGTTTTCCTTTGTCCATAGCTGTTGGCAGTGTCATTATGATGTGTCTTGTTGTGGATTTCTTTTGAGTTTATCCTTTCGGGGGTTTGCTCATAACCACCAGATAAACTCATGGGAGAATGTCACATGTATGAGTCACTGGTGATAGCAGAAAACAGGAGGTAGCTGGTCAGGGTGATGAGACTAAAATGCAAATATGATCATGTCACACATAAACTTAAGGCTCTTAAACAGTTTCCCAGTGTCTACTGAGAAACCCACGCCCAGCCGAACACATAAGGCCATCTGTGGGCTCACCTCCTACACCCACAGTTCTGGATCTACTCACAGTTCCCTTGCACCCCTGCATTACCCTTTGCTCTGCTCTTTGTGCCATTTCTTCTGTCTACAGTGCCCTTCCCCACCCCCTCTTTGCCATCTTCTCAGTCTGGCTAGCTCCCCCTCCTCCTTCCAGACTTACCAGATGGGTGTGGGCATGACCTTGAGGTGGGCTTCTCTGGCCAATCCTTCCTCCACTCATTGACTCATCTCTGTGCTCCAAGCTTGCCTTGTGCTTTGTGCTAATTGAGTTCTTGTCATATTGTATTGAAATGTCCCATTTATAAGTCTTGTCTCCCCTCTGGACTGTGAGTTCCACCAAGAGAGAAAGCCCATTCTGATCTCACTTTGTAGCTGCGTTGCCTAACACAGTGCATATAATGCTGAGTAAGTGACATGTCAGGTGCTGGTGGTACCCCCATTTCATATCTGGGCCTTACCACACTATTTTGGGTGCAGCCCCCATCTGATGTAGGCTCATGGCAATTCTAGCCGTTCCTGAAATAATTCATTGGGTTCTTTTCTGCAGATAAATGAGAGGTGGGGCAAAATGCCCACTTAAAGATGATCTAAAAAGAAAATAGATGATTTTTATATGCCTCAGCCAAATACAAAGTGGATTTATAATTGTTTATGAGGTGAGGTGTCTCGATGATTAAGGACTCAGCTTTGGAGGCAGAGCAATCTGTGGACAAATCTCTTTCTATTACATATTCAACCTTGGCAAAGAACCCAGCCTCTCAGTGATTTCCTCTGGAAAATGGAACTAATGTAACTGGGTTTTTGGAAGAATTCAATGGTATAATTCTTGCAGGCTACATAATATAGAAAACTGTTGTGATTGTTTTTATTAACATAAAGGATATGGCTACAAATTTGCATATCTACATATAATCTGAAAAGAACTTTGAAGAGGTCAGACAGTGAAACATCAAGAATATTTGTCGTAAATCTAGAAAAGTGCTCTTGCACGGGGGCATGGAAAGGTTAACTTCATTCACTCATTCATTCACTCACTCACTCATTTAGCAAAGGTTAACTTCTCACATTGCAGAATGTCCAAGACATAGTGATCTCTGGCCCTTTTGCAAGTTAAGAGGATTAAGTGAAAGGGAACCGTTGATCTCTAGAGCCGAGTGTGGTGGAGTCCCTACAGGAGTGTGTGCCCTGCGTGCTCTGTCTAAAGATCTGGAACCGTATCTGGCCCGCGCTCCATAAACAGGTTCCACTGGATTACCTGAACCTGCAAAAACTGGTGACTGACACCAGAACCGCCAGAGCTTCTTACCGAAAACAGGTTTCAGCAAAGCTGCCTGGTGGGGGTGGGGCAGCAAGCCCACCCCGCCTCCTCCTAAAGGCCCCAATCCCCTCTTCCCCTGTGGGGCGGGGGAACTGGGAGGACTGGGTTCCAGACCCAACTGTCCCCCTCCCTGGCAGTGTGTGATCGTGAACAAGCTCCAGCCTCTCTGTTCTCAGTCCCCTCACCCATAAGATGCAGAGATGCCGTGCTCCCTTCCGTTCTGTGATTCCCCACGGCTTCCCAGCAGCCCTTTCTGAGCCTGGATGAGCCGGGAACTCCACAATTGGCCCTCGTTTGGCAGAGATGGAGCCTTTCCCTTACCCAACAGGGTCACAGAATGACACTGTATCTGGTGCCGTCGATGAGATGATAGGTTGTGCCTGCCCAAATCCGCATGGTGGTTTGGGAGAAACTTTAGAAGAAGTTTAAACACTGGAAGCGACAGACAAGGAGCCAGCACAAAGAATGCAAAGGGGGTAGGATTTCTGTGCGTAGTAATCAAGTTGATGACATTAAACAAACAACTGTGGTATCTAGGTAACCGTTAGCGCTAATGACACTTAAATCCATGTCTCAGGCACTTTTTGCCACAGTGTGAGAATGTGATGCTCACTTTGGGTTCAGGATTCAAAATTCCTGGAGTCCCCTCCCTCCCTCCCCCCACCATCCCCTCACCCACACAGGAATTCCAGATCCCATTGCAGAGGGCAGTGCCCAGGTCTCTGTGTTCGGGGGTTCTGAAGTCAGCCAAGGTGGGGAATCGTGAGTTTAGGGAGTTGAGCCCATCTGCTGCTCCCTCGAGGCGGACATTTCCACACGCCCGTCAGCAGCAAATGCTAAAACGGAAATGCTGTGCCACTTACCTGACATTAGTCCAGCTTTCAGTGGCTGTCATCCCTGGTTCACAATGCCCAGCGCTGGCTCGGCATGGGCAGGCACAGTTAATGTTTATACTGTCTACAGAACAGCTCAGGGCATCCCGGAGCCGGGGCACCGGGAGGGAAGCGG